ATAGATGAATTGTATGTTGTATGTTATTGTTGAATTATGGATATTATGGTTTTGGAGGATTAATCGATTGGGAATATTTTTTATTTTTTTGGAGTAAAAATGGATTTAAAGAATAATTGAATTTTTTGGGTGTTGTATTAGACATCATGTGTTGTTGTAATTTGGAAGAATTGAAAGTTTTTTTTGCAACAGGTATAAATGGCATATTGTAGTCCGCATTTTGTTAATTTGTATTGGCGATTTGCGAAGGAACAGTTAAGAGATTTTGTTTCATTTATGGATAGTCCGGATGGTTCATTTGTGATTACGGGGAGGATATCATATGAACAATTGGTACAAATGATTAATGAAAATTGTCGTTTTGGAGAAGGTTGGACAATTCAAGTGATTACTTTAATGTTTCGTCAACGCGATGGTTCGTGGACTGCCGGAAGACTCGATAACTCTAGTGCTCTTCAGTGAATTTATGCATATGAACCTATGTCCGTTGTGTATTTGCATTTATCGTTGGAAGCAATTACACCGGTCACACAATTTGAGGATTTTACTCATTATTACGGGGGAATGGATGAGGGCATGTCGACTTCTCATCTACGTAATTTTGGAGAAGGGACAAGCTCACCAATTAGAGAAAGGGAAAATGAGGACGAGGAAGAAAGTGACGAAGAGTTCTTACTCGGTGAAGATGATTTCACAGACGAGACCTCAGAAACCGAATCAGATAGATCGGTGAATGAGGAGAGTGAAGCCGAGTTCATTGAAGAAGAATTCCCCTTTCCTAGTGGTGGTCGGCACGTATACCGCGAGATGGGTGAATGGGACCCGTCCAGGATAGATGCGGACGAGTATGCTATTCCACGCTGGAATGGCGACATTGAGACCATACGTTTGGGTATAGTTTTTCAGAGCAAGAAAGAAGCCCAAATGGCTCTGATGGCTTGGAACGTCGATAGGTTGCGGGAGGTTCGGATAAATGATTCGAATCAAAAGTCATACAAAGTGGTCTGCAGATCTAGTGAAGATCCGCCTTGTCTGTGGAAGGCTCGGGTGACTAAGTCCAAACGGGTTCATGAATTGTGGGAACTAACGGAATGGACTGATAGTCACACTTGTATGCAAACGGGTTCACTATAATTGACTTCAATTGTACTAATTTGACATTAATTGTACTAATTCGATTTCGATTTTACTATAATTGACTTCAATTTTACTAATTTGACTTTAATTGTACTAATTCGATTTCGATTTTACTATAACTGACTTCAATTTTACTAATTTGACTTTAATTGTACTAATTCGATTTCGATTTTACTATAATTGACGTCAATTGTACTAATTTGACTTTAATTGTACTAATTTGACTTCGATTTTACTATAATTGACTTCAATTTTACTAATTTGACTTTAATTGTACTAATTTGACTTCAATTGTACTAATTGTACTAATTCGAGTTTAATTGTACTAATTCGATTTCGATTTCACTATAATTGACTTAAATTGTACTAATTTGACTTCAATTGTACTAATTCGATTTCGATTTTACTATAATTGACTTCAATTTTACTAATTTGACTTTAATTGTACTAATTTGACTTCAATTGTACTAATTGTACTAATTCGAGTTTAATTGTACTAATTCGATTTCGATTTCACTATAATTGACTTCAATTGTACTAATTTGACTTTAATTGTACTAATTCGATTTCGATTTTACTATAATTGACTTCAATTTTACTAATTTGACTTTAATTGTACTAATTCGATTTCGATTTTACTATAGTTGACTTCAATTTTACTAATTTGACTTTAATTGTACTAATTTGACTTCAATTGTACTAATTGTACTAATTCGAGTTTAATTGTACTAATTCGATTTCGATTTCACTATAATTGACTTAAATTGTACTAATTTGACTTCAATTGTACTAATTCGATATATGCTATATACTATATAATTATATATAGTACTACTATATGATATATACTATAATATATATATATATTTAATATATATACTATATAATTTAATTTATATAGAATATAATTTATATGTTATACTTTATAGTTTATATGTTTATACTATAAAAGATCTTGATGTTGAAGGATAAGAATAAATGTTGCGCAAGTTATTCAGCGATAGCCTAGTGCGGCCCAATGGTAACGAGGCGCCCCCAGAGATAACGGACTCACTCGAACCCGGGTTCGAGTTCCGGATCTGGGAACCTCGTGCCATTTTTTTAACATTTATAAAACGTATTTCAGAAATACGTTTTATATTTATGATACAAATATAAAACGTATTCTGAGAATACGGCTTACAAATAATGCCAAATATAAAACGTATTTTCGGAATACGGTTTTCAATTAAATATAAATACTCCTTTCTTCCTTCTTTCTTTCTTTCTTACGCGAACGAGTACAGAGAGAGTACAGAGAGCGAGCGAGAGCGAGAGACTTTGGGAAAAAAAAAAAATTCACCGCTGCCGATTGCCGCCGCCGCTGTCGCTTGCCGCCGCACTTCCGCTGCCGTTACATTAGACATGTAAGTTTTGTCGAAAATTTATTCATTAGTTTGTGTGTTTCAATTTGTTAATTTGTTCATTAGTTTTGTTTTCTCGAAAATTGAATGTGTGTTTCAATTTTTGGTTGTTTGTATATATATTTGTTCATTTAGGGTTGTTTGAATTATATATGTTGTTTCAATTTTGGTGGATTAAGGTTAGGGTTAGGGTTAGGGTTGGGGTGATAGATTTGGGGCTTTTGTCAATTTTGGTGGATTAGTGTTAGGGTTAGGGTTAGGGTTAGTGTTGGGGTGATCGATTTGGGGCTTTTGGTGGATTTAGGGCTTCGATTAGATCTAAATGCATGTTAATGATAGGTAGAAAATTCAATTTTCGTGGATTAGAGTTTGTTTATTTTAAAATGCTCGTTAAGGATAGGTAGAAAAATGGTAAATCATAAAATAATTTATTTTTTTCTCTAAAGAAATTTTATTTATTTTTCTTTAAATACATTAATTTTATGACATAAAATAATTTGTATTTAATAAATGTTTATAACATATACCTATATATAAATATTCTAAATTATAGGATTAAAGATTTTGTAATTATTTTTAGTTTTATTATTTGTTTAATATGTATAAAATCATAAAAATAATAATTATTAGATTCTACAAATGACGACGGCGCAGTCATAATGAGTTAGTAAAATAACCAAACTATTTTTTTTGTTAATTAATATATTTATGATATCTTACTCATAAGTTATTAAATAAATAAACAAACATATGTTGTTACTACGAATAAATATATTCAAAATAAAATCATGTTATTTCACACATTCAAACAAAACACAATTAAATCATATAAATAATTAGAGTAAATAAAATCGTTTGATTGGTTATTATTTAAAATTACAATTTATCCACTAATTTTATTTCTTCTTGGAATTGTACATACATATATAATTTATTGTGTATCTATTTTTTTTTTTTGTAATTGTAGATAATGGCTTCATCTTCGTCGTCGTCGCAGCCTCAGCGATACAGTGTACATCCTGGTCCGAGGGATCCCAGTTTGTTATATCTTCAGTACTGCCACCGATCACGGGCGGTTTTCGAAGATAAACAGGGATATCGTAGCGACACGGTTAAAAACCGCCGCTACGACACTCAGTTATGGAAGGCTTTGCCAAAACAGCATCCGTCGGTTTGGGAGGTGATCGACCGGACCGGTTTTGGGCCCTTGTTGCGAATGGGTCGAGTCCAAACCGACAACGCCGTCATTACCGGTCTAGTGGAAAGGTGGCGACCGGAGACGTACACCTTCCATTTAGATTTCGGGGAGGCCACGATCACCCTCCAGGATGTACAGGTGCTGTTCGGTCTGCCCGTCAATGGAACTGCTTGTTTGGGAGTGACGGAAGATAAAACACCCCAAGCATGGCGTGATAGGTGCAAGGACTTGTTAGGGTTTCAGCCCTATGTCGAGGTATATTTTTTCCTATATATATATATATTTTTTAAACTTATGTCCAATCAATTATATAGTTTTTAAGAGGAAGCGGCGCTTGATTCCGCTAATTGGACCATTAAAGGCCAGTTTTTGAAGGGTTTGGAGTTAGAAAGGGAATGCTCAATACATCTGGGAGATGGACTTCCAGACAGCCGCTACGAGCAGAGGGCGAGGGCCCTTATCCTGTGGTGTCTTGGGTCCTTCTTCTTCCCGG